GGGCTCAGCCGACTTGGAAGGACTGTGGGGACATGGAGAGACTGGCCAGGGTGAGCCAGGGGTTGGGGCTGGAGCGGGCAGTGGAGAGGAGCGCCCTGGACAGTGACCACAGACAAAGGCAGAGTGGAGCTGGGACGGAAGGCACCTGGAGGAAGGCACCTGGAAAGGGACGGGGGAGCACAGGGATGTGGGAAGGGGAGGCAGGAGAGGACTGTGGCAAGAACTGGGTGGAGCAGGACAGAACCAGATGGAGGGGGTCAGAAAGGTGGGATGGATGCCGATGGAGAGGGGCTTGGTGGACAGCCGATAAAGGCACAGAGTGAAGCAGGGACCAGAGGATCTGGAAAGGGAACAGGGGACTCTGGGCAGTTCAGAGGTGACATTTGAACAAATGGACTGGGAAGTATGGCCAGAACTCTGGAAGAGGTGGCCGGACCTGCTGCATCAGGAAGCAGTTCCTGTTTGGGAGTAGGGAGATGGGGCATATAACTGGGGCTCAGCCCAGTGCCTTCCTCCCCAGCAGGAGTCAGCACTGAAAGCCCTGGGGACAGAAGGCCTCTTTCTCTTTTCCTCCCTGGACACTGACGGGGATATGTACATCAGCCCCGAGGAGTTCAAACCCATTGCTGAAAAGCTGACAGGTACCAGAGAGTCTGGGGACTGGGTGGAGGGCCACTCACGGTAGCAGCACCTGGAGCGGAAGAACATTGTGGTCGCTGGAGCCCTGGCACCCCTTAGCTCTTGCTCTGGCTGCTGTAGCACCCCAACCTGTTGTCCTCACATTTGTTAATAAGAGTACTGATTAGCATTCGTTGACCGCCTCATCTGCCACTTGTCACTTTTGCACTTCCTGAGGTTTTCTTTTTAAACCTCACAATAGCCTGGAGAGTGGACGCTCATGACCCTGAAGTCTGTAGTTTGGAGAGCACTAACAGTTCACCCACTTGCCCAAGCTAGAAGAGGGAAGAGCTGGGTTAGAACCAGGTCATCTGGCTCTGGGGTCCTGCACCACCGGCTCCCAGGATTAATGATCAGAGATGTATGCCAAATGACACTTATGCAGCAGTCGATAGACGGGAGCTATGACTACTGGCCTAACTCTCTGCCCTGGTGCTGTTAGAGCACCTTGGTATCCATCTTTGTCTAGATGCAATTAGTGGCTAATTTTTTAAAGATGAAGAGCTGAAACCCTTTTTATCCCCCAGTGGTGCTGAAGATGGAACCCAGGGCCTCCTCGCATTCACTAGGCAAGTGCGCTACCACTGAGCTAGAGAGGCTAACACATTCTAATGAATTAAAAAATGTTTGTCTCACAGCTCCACCACTATCCCAAGCTCTGTGTGCATTTTCCTCCAAACTCTTGTGACATTTCTTGAACTTATGATCTTAAGCATCCAGTTGTTACCCAGTTGTTCTCATCTACTGAGAGCAGGACACAGATGCCAGCTGCTCTCAGGGGTAGGAGTACTAGAGCCTTATCATAGCTTGCTGTGTCTCA